AGCTCTACCTCGACTCATAGCAGGTGTGGTTAATCGTTCTAATATTATATAGAGTCGAAGGATACTATAAAACAAATCTCTTTCTCCCAGTCTTGGATACTTTTTAGCAACTCAATTGAATGGAAAATTATTGATTAATCGCTTCGCATAATTTCAAACACACTTTAGACTATCTTCTTAATATAATAAAATTATTATATATTTTGGCAACTCTATCCATTCTTGTTTCTACCAATGAAATTATATTTTCTTATTTAACAAAAGGAGTAATGCTGTTAAATGGCTCGTTTGAGCCAATTTTTACAAATAGTGAACTTATTTTAGCGAGGAAATATTGCTTAAGCCTCGAGATTTTGCCAATAAATGTCCTTGTGCCATCTATGAGCAAAATCTTCAGGCTTTGCGAAATATTTTTCTGGAAAGATTATTGAGTTAGCCGTGTGCCCAAATTGATCCATTTAACAACACTACTGAGAAATACTACCTCTGAAAATAGTTTGAATATCTTAGCTTTTCATAATATACATAGGGAGTTGATGCCAAGCACTGATGAAATCATTGAAAAATTAGCTCAATCCAAGGAACATTGAATTTCATATTATAAATGTATAATAAGTTTTAATTATATTTTTTCACATTTTTTAATACGTCATATTTTTTTTTCATGAATACTTTGTTAGTTTATTTACCTAAACTAGAGGTCTAAAAATTTAAGTAATGGGCGGGCGTGGGCGGGGGAATTTTTGATATTTTTCAGGCGAAATATGCAGATCAGACTTCAGTGTATTAAAAATAATAATTTCAAAATATTGCATATTAGATATGTTTAATTAAAAACATTAAAATGAATAAATAAATAAAGAGCAAAACCAGTCATTAAAAAAAATTGTATACGTTAGGCCGGCGGGCAGGTTAAATAAATTTTAAAACAAGTGGTCGGGCTATTTGGCCTAAAATCCTTCCATTGCAACTTCTGCCTAAAACTATATGCAATAATAAGAATATTTTTTCCAAAATTTTTTTTTTTTTTCAAATAAAATTTTAATTTATTATGTCAAATTTTAAATACTCGAATTTATATATTTTTTTTTCAAAGTTCTTTTTCGAGACTTTTATTCTATAATGATTCATATGCCGCTTGTATCATCTCTTTTATCATTAATATACATTTAAATTTGTATAATAGAAATTGTCAATATTTTATAGTCCCCATAATAAATTTCTGCATACGCGCCTTGGTATAAGTTTCCTATAATTTTTTAATTTTGAAAAATCGGCCATCTCGTGAATTTCGCCAAGAAAAAGTTGTTCCTAAAAAGCTGCTAATTGAATATTATAAAGATGTCCTAATCAATCACTTCATTTTGTCCGGGAAAGGATACAATTAATAGAACCAATCAACCATTAACACGCCCTTTAATTTGACAAATGTCATATAAAAATAAATATGTTTTTACATTAATAAAATAATGATTTTTAAATAAATTCAGCTTTATTTGATCCTCGCCGAATTGTCGTTGCGCTGATTTGTCCCCACGCAGAGTTTTCCGCCCTGATTTGACGTGACCAAATATCAATGCATAATAATTATATTATTTTTTTAAAGTACAATTTATACTTTTAAATGGATAAGAAAATCAAATTTAGCGGTCCCTAAAATGGTATGATTTTGGCGGTCTATAGCGACTATCCAACCTGGCCTACCGTTTGCGTGGACCTACTTACCCTCCATTGTCCTAATAAAAACGTGCAATTTTCTTATTAATATATAAAAATAATTTAAACCTATTTCCAGTAATTTAAAAACCATGTTGATTTCAAAGATTTGATTTCAAAAGTTATTGTTTGCTTTTTTAATTATATTATAAATTAACTACATATAAAAAAACATTAAAATGTTTAACCACATTAAATTAAAAACTTATTTTTATGATTATGGTAATATAAATATTTTTTATATTATTTTGTTTGACTTTTTATAGTAAATATTTACAAGTAAAGAGAGACGTCATGTATTGTGAAACAAAAAGCGGCTGTTTTACCTTTTAATATAATTTATAATAATATTATAATGTATATGTTATTAAATTTTATTAATTAATATTGATATACATAAATATAATTTATGCATTTTTTAAAAATAAAGGCTGTTAGGCGGTTAAACGTGGTTTTGTGTGTAGATGGAGTGAAAATGTATACTGAAATTGATAAATTTGTTTTGAGAATTTTGTTATAATATATTAATTTATAATAAATATTAAATTTAGAAATAGTAATACATAAATAATGTAGTTAATATAAATTAACAGGGGGATCGTATTCGTTGGGAATTGAAATATGATACCTACATTAAAATAATGATTATGATTATGATACCTTCCTTATAAATTATTTATACTTCACAAAACAAACAGTACCGTGAGTAGCCAGCTAACATTGAAAAATAATTTAATAAGGTTTTCTAAAAAAGGGGTATTATTTTACATTTATATTGATTTAAGAATAGCAACGGATATATATTTATTTGAGTAAAATGTTTTTTTATAGTTGGGGTCTTTTTTTTACGTCAAATTTATTTTAGCGCAAAGTTCACTAAAAGTACTTATCTGTGTAAGTTAGGGCTAGGTTGAGATAAAAAGCGGTTAAGTTAAATTTTTGCGGAAAAAAATAACTGTAACTGTTGCATTTTTTTTATAATGTAACGATAAAAGTTACTGGCTACATTTGTTTGTGAAGGACAACGTCCTGTCCGATCGGTCTTAGACCGGACTGGATCGAGAGGCGGACCGGGGTTCGATTTATTATTCAATTCATATATTTTTTTTATAGTAAAATTTTTGTATATATTTTATTTTATATTACTCTTTTATATATATCAATTCCTATCTTTGCATACGATGATTTCCTAAATATTAATTTATTACTGTTTATTAAATATACTGTCTCATTTACATCAAGCACTGCCGTATAAAGTCTGCCTATAGTTTAAGGATGCTAATTTTTGGAGAAAAACGAGAATGATGCTTATTTTTTATAAACCAATTTTGAAAATTACTTTATTATTATAATGTAAATATTAACTTTTTCATTTTTTTATAAGAAAATAAATATTATAAATGTTAATATTTAAATTTCAGTGTTTCAAAATTTCAATCAAATAAACCTGTTTTTTTCGTGTTTTTCACCTCGTTTTTTATTTTTGGAAAAAAAATCAAGTTTTTTATTGTTTTTTAAAAACATCTTTAAGTATATATTATATATTTTATAAACATGCGCATGTCACTTTTAATACTGTTTCATTATAGAACCATTTTACCTATCAGGTTGCAAGGAGATTGGAGCTGACAGAACCCTCTAGATAAGCCAATTATGCTGAGGCTTCCCAGATGACTAAAATATGCAATAATAAGATAGTTTGGTACTCATCTAAAATTCAAGCAATGAGGTATTAGAAGACCTTGAAAGCTGATTTACCATTTTTTTTATTGTTTAAAATATAGGCCTAAGCAGGGACCAGGAACAAGGTATTTTTTTTTATTCTGCTTAATTTTTCCAATAAATTAAGTTATTTTTTACTTCCAGATTTATATTTTTCTAAACGTTCCTAGTAATCAAAAAGTTTATTTATATGAGACCCGGAAAATTCTGAAACATGATATGAAACCTCTCGGTTGACACTCAGTAAAAAAATTTTGAATAAAATACCCGTTTCCATTCCCTTGTTTCTCTAAAAAATATGACACTTTTGTGTCCACTAACATTCTTAAAGTTCTAGTTTTTAGTCTTGAGGTGTTCCTTTAATAGAAATATTAAGTAAAGAGCGCTAGATTGCCGAAAAAAGCTACTAAAAAGGCTATAACATATATACTTTTTAAAGATCTCATATTTTACTTCGTTCATCGAGCGGCTTCTATCACGGCGGCGTGTAACACGTTCGTAAAATTCTCGAGGGGAGCGTGGGTTGGGGGGGGGGGTACATTTCTTTTAAACTATCCCCTTTGTTCTTAGAGAGAGGGTAAGTTTGATATTTATAATTTATTCAAAATGAAAATAGGAATAAAGTTTATATTTTAATAACTATGTAATTTGAAAAATTAGAAGTAAATTTTTTTGGAAATAGGTGGCAGCATTTTTTTTAGGGTGGATAAAATTCACTGTAACTGGGGGGGGGGGGATGTAGAATAGTGACTTTCTTCTGGCCTAAATTTTCAAGTCCGGCCCGAAATTTTTAAATAAATTAGTCTGGCCCAGTCCGATCTTTAACGTCCCAAAACCGAGCCCGAAATAAAAATCATTTTCCCGCCAGATCCGAATTTATTTAAGTATAGAATACTTTAATCATTTTAAATAAAAAAATATTGGCGCCATGTTTTTCTAGCAAAATTTTTTTAAATATCATATTTCATAAAATTGAATAAGAAAATTTGAAATTTAAACCCTATTCGACTCCGGACCGGGTCAGATATTTGTCGGACCCGGTTTTTATATAAGGAGGAAGCATTTTTTGATGAATTAGATCCCAAAACTATTTAAAATTGAGCTTATTTTCCTTTCACGCATAAAAATGGATTTACATTGTTTTTTTATTACAATTTTATTTTTAAAAAATATTAATAAAAAAAAGTAAAAAAACATGAAATTGAAAAAACCACATTGTTTTTTTTTCGTAAAATTTTAAATTTTTCTTCTGCTTTTTTTAAAGAAATAATTTTTGATACAAATTAATATTTACATTGTAATAATGGAAATTTTAGTTTAGAGATAAAAAAAATTTTTTTAAAAAAATATGCTTACTAAAGATAATTCCTAATTTTATTTCTGGAATATTCGAGGAAAGAAAGTAAGAATTAATCTAAAAATTCGGACCAAAATAATTTGTATAAGACTCCTTAGTCGAAGGGGGGGGGGGTGGTTTATGCAGATATAAGAACGTTTTATGTTATCCTTTTTATAACGATTTATATAATATAAAATAATATAGAATATGGGTATAAACAAACTTAAATTCAAAGTTTGAAAGTTCGCAAACCATTCCAGTGTCTGTCAATAATTCCATCGAATTAGTGGAATTAAGCTGAGTCGATTTGATAATTTTTCTTCTTCATATTTTAGGCATACTGAGAAGCGTTTAATTAAAGTATTAAATTACCAAATAAATTTAATAATTCAAATCAACAACTCATTTTTATTTTAAACTACACACTATTACTATACGGATGCTTAAAATAATATAAATATTTGTTAATTAACTCATTCTAAGTGTAATATCTTTTATTTATCTTATATTTAATACTAATAAATTATATAACAACTTCTAGCGAAAATCATTTATTTTTTAAAAAGCCATGCTTTCTTGTTTTTTATTAATCGTTTTATTTATTATTATTGTTTATTTAGATATATATAACAAAAATAAACAATATTTAAAATAAAAAAACCACAAAAAGTATAAAAAAAAATATCTTTTTTTTCGACTAATTTGAATAAGAAAACTTTTATCCTATTTTTTTCTCTCTAAAATGTAAAAATGGAATTTTGTTTAAAAAAAAAAATGTTTTTTTAGCGGAGAAATTATAACCGCGTTTTTACCGCTTTTTTAAATCGGATATTTTTTATTATATTTGATTCAAAGATTTTGAAGATTTTAATTAATTCAATTCTTTCCTAATGTTTATTCCTTCCTATTTATTTTTTTTTTAAAACAGGATCAAAAAAATAAAATTAGCTCAATGATAAAATAAGAGATCTCTAAAAACATATATTATTCACAAATCCAAATACCACTTTCAAAAAATCTAAAAATAATTATGGACAAGAACGGTTATTCTCCTTTTACCATGAACGGTCGGTATTCGATACCCCACATGACCCCATCCTCTAAACCTCCCTCAAATTATTCCTTTGACGACGATTACGTTAACGCACCCTCGTCCGCTTTCAATATTTGCCGGGTAGCGTCTAACGATCAATTACACGCATCTCCCAACAAATTTATAATTGAGGCCAGAAACTCGAATCTCCTCCGTAGCAATCATAAAATCAATTCTTGTAATAACAATCTCGACCCGTCATCGAATCCGGATGTTTCGAACAATTCTCCCCATTCCTCGAACAGCGCACTTTTTAATAGCAGACTCCTCCGTAATTTCAGCAATTTATACGACGTTGACCCACCAGAAGCGCCCTCAGCGTTATCGAACGACAATTTGCAAGCGGAAAACCCTACGAATAACCCGAAGAACGGCATATGCCTTTTACCAGTCCCTGGGACCTTACTTCCATTGGGCCTAAATAGCTCCACTAATTTGGGAGTAGTTAGCAACGTCAGCAATTCCACCACTAATCCCAAATCCTGGGCTTTAAAGCTGTCCCTCAACCTTTGCTTCCAATCCGAAAATTTTAGATCTTTCGCCGGTTAGCGATTTTTGTCAAAATTTTTTGATTTTTTTTATACAATTACAAATGATAGTTGCATCATCACCTTAATTCATTATCGTTTTAAAATCAGCTGAAGCTGCAATAACTATTACATCTAATAGAATAATGCGAAATAAAAAAAAAGTATTAATCATGTAAACTATTACATCTAATAGAATAATGCGAAATAAAAAAAGTATTAATCATGTATTATTCTTTTCATATGGATATGGTTAAAATTGGTGTTGTTAAACGGCTCGATTTTAAAACAAGGTTTAGCCAAAAAATATTATGCAAGACTAAAGATTTTGTTTTTAGATGGCAGAAAGGTTTGGACATCTATTAACGAAATCTCGAGGCTAGTGTAATTTTATTTTGTACTAGTTAAATTTTAAAATTTATCTTGCAAATATTTTATAAAGGCGTTAAATTAAATATGAATAATATATTTATTTTAGGCAACACAAAGCGCACGCAAATAAGCATTGGTTAGATTTAATATTATAATATTCGTTTTCAATGTTAAAAATAGTAAAAAGATGTATATATTAATATATACATTTCTTTTAAAGAATATTGAGTAAATTATTATGATTATGCATTATATCTACCTTATAATGCGAGCTAATCGATGCGTTTCGTTATGCAAAACGCAAACAATGCATTTGAAATAGGTATCGTCCAAATTGATCAGCGCTTATAAAGATCTATAAAAACGCAAACTGGTTTGCCTTTTTTCGAAAAAGTTCAATTAGGTCGCATTATTATAACCATAGTGATAAATAACTGGCATTTTAAACTACGTCATTCACCAAAAAAATTTTTTTTTTATACCAGGCCAAGAACATATAAATTAAATTCATATATTTCAAAAAATAATTAATTTAATTAAAAGTGTTTTTTGTTTTTTTTGTCTCCGTTATTAGAGTTTTAGTAACTGATTACAGTTACTTCGCAAAAAAAGGACTTTAAGAACACTAGTAATTACATCTTAATAAAGAAAATTTATTAATTATTTTTATATAGACAAATTTAAACAATTACCTTTCCGCTACAAAAATAAGAAAAAAACTCAACTGAGGAATGTTACTAAAAACAATTTTAAAAAAACCGACTGAAATATTATATTTTAAGTTCAAGATTTTATATTCAGTTTAGGTTCACAAAATTCTAAACGGTTATTCCAATGTAACGGTTACGGTGAAGGTTGAGCAGTATTGCGAATACTTATATTAAAATTACCAAGTACAAATACTTTTTTTTTGTATTTGATATTTATTTCGAAAAATATAGAGAGTAATTAATAATTAGTATTAGTTGGGTAATTGCTATATCTTTAGCTGTTAACGAGTTATTATTAAAAAATATATATCAAAATCGAAAAAAGAAGAATACTTTAACATTTTACACGAATTTATTTAACCCATCAAATTACGGACGCCTCCTGCAACGTTTCTCCCCATCTCCAAGGGTTTAAGGACAATAACAAAAAAAGCTTCTCTTATTGACCTCAAAGCCAAACTTATTTCAGAGAAAATTGACTGACTAAATATTATAGTTTCTCTCAAATTGGTCTATTCTTATGATTCACTAGCTTACCACTCAGATTAGACATACATAAAACTCCTTTCAAAACACTTCTTCTATTTCAACATCAATACCTTTTTTCATTGTGCTTCCTATTTCAATTCCGATGAAGTAAGGAAGGCAATCCTATCTTTCCACCGAGATTCCGCTAACCGCCTAGATGGAATCAGACCCATATTCCTCCAGGGCACAACTTATCCATTGATCAGCTTACAAACTTCCATCCTTCTAAATCACAAACTTATGCAACCAAATCTTATATGGTGATGTTCTCCTCCCCCTTCCCCCTTCTCATTATTTTTGTAGTCAGACTTATATCCTTACAGAAACCTAACAAAGAGATTGGTTGAACTTTCCCACGCCTTGTCGCTAAAATGATTACATTCAGATAAAATATAAGGCCCCTCACCTTCTCACCCCATTACAGTTAGGAATTAGTGATCTGCATCGGGCCTAATTTTTCAAGCCCAGCCCGGCCCAAATTTTTTTTACAAAGTTTTACCCGGCCCATCTGAAATATTTTAAAAAATTTAGCCTGCCCGGCCCGAATTTATTTAAATATAAAAATTAATTTTATAATTACTCAAAATAAACGATATGTAATATGTCGTCCACTTTTTATAAATATCAATATTCAACATAAAATTGATAAATTTAAATTTTCTAAGACCTGACCCTGCCCGGGTACGGATTGGGCCTACTTTTGCAGATCTCTAATACGAATTATGGGCGGATGTGAGGCCGCTGTACATCTTAATCGTCTTTATTTGGAGAGCAATCCCACAAATGAAACTTATCAAAATTTATTTTGCTACTGCGTACAACATCATCTCCCGTAACTCATTCTTGCAATCAGCGAGCACATCATTTCCATGCTACACCAACTATTCTTGTTACCAGTTTCCATCAATTTATTCAAATCTCAAAAAATACTCTCAGCCAAGGGCATCCAACAGGGTACTAGGATCCCTTTTATTCTGTGTTGCAATCAATAATATAATTCAACCATTAATTCAGAATGCTGGAATCATTAGTGATCTCAATTGTAAACCAATAAGGCCGTACACATTATCAAGGAAATGGGATGCACTGTTGGTTCATTCTCAACCCCATAAAATCTGAATTTATGCAAGTAAACTCCTCCATTTAAAATCTCCACTATTTCAGAATTACCTCCATTGAGGAGCTAACACATCTAGATCCCCCAGTAGGCGGATTCACGGCAATCAGTGCCTTCCTCCACCTACTCTTGATATACTTCTTAAGCTTGACGACCTCCTTGACTTGCTACCCTTGCATAAATCATTCTTCCTCCTTAAAAACTTCTTTAACATTCCACTCATACTTTATGCTCTACGCTCAACGCCTATTTTTAAATATTCTATCCCTCTCAGTATTTATGAAAAAGGAAGAAAATATCTAACCGAAAATATTTTGAATCTAAAATTCAATGAAACAGCATGGGCTCAAGCTTCATTACCAAACAAAAGTGGTGGTTTAGGAATTAGATCTCCCACCATCTTGCTCTCACTGACTTTATTTCGAGTAATTTACTTTCAACCCCCCACACCCACAAAATGACTTTTCCTTAAATGATGCTTAGATGATGCTATCCGAGGACACGTGTTAATGATGTCCCATCACCCGAATTCAATAGATAAAAGGATTGAGAGAGGCCAGTTGTAGCATGCTACATTGAATCCCTTTTATTTAGCATGCTCCCAACAATCCGTTCTCTCTTCACTTCTTTACTTATGGATACGTATATTAATTTTTGGAAGTCATTCCATCCAAAAATCTTCAAATCCAACTAACCAACATTGAGTTAACCCACGCAATAGGAGTCTGCCTAAATTGTACAATAACTTCCTCAGTTCTGGCTGCATAATCCCCATAGACTGCAAAGGAAGATACAGCTTACATTGCAAATCGTGCAAAGGACGAATCCTCAGACACACCCAATGCAATTTCTTGATCCAGTGAGCATTGAAATCCGCCCAAATACTCGATACTTACACCACCTTTGACTTTTTAGATCCTATGGAAAACGGCTTGACGGAATCACTCTGATCCCATGAAAACGGGGTTAATTTATAGTTTGGGACTATTCTTGTATACCAATCAAACACCTACATGAGCATAAAGAACAGCATAAAATTTACATATATTTGTAAATATCAGAAGATCACATCTTATCTACTACCTTAACTTCCTTTGGTAACCTTCAATTATCCCTCCTTAAGGATTTAGGATCTCACATCCGCAAGCATACTTGCGATCCGCAAGAAGGTTTCTTCCTCAGGCAGAGACTGGCTAGAGCTATCCAGCAGATTATCAAGTTTCAGTGGCAGTCTTCTCTCCCTTGACCTTCGCTAGATTCACTTTTTCTTCCTTATTCTAATTATTTTACATTATATTTCACCTTTATATTATTAATTTGGAATTTATTTTTTTCGTATATAAATTTTGTGTTGACTTATACTATTTAGTAAATAAATTAAATATAAACATAATAAACCATAACGACCAATTAAATAACTAAATAAATATAAGATATCACATATTTGTACATAAATAATATAAATTTTTTTTATAAATTCTTGTATAATTTTCAGAGACCTGCAGAGATACCATTTGTACAGCCTGCCACGGATTTAAATTTTTCGGCCGGGCCCGATTTTTTTTTTAAAAATTATTTTCGGCCCGGCCCGGATTTTTTAAAATATATTTTATTTAATATTGATTTTTATAGCTAATAATGGCGATTTTAATTATTTGGTTGTAAAATATACGGCCCGGTCCGGATATTTTTTAAAAAATTTTCAGGCCCAGCCCGGCCTGGGTATATTTAAAAAAATTAAAATACGGCCCGGCCCGTGTACCCAGGCAAGACCGGGTTTAAGGCAGGGCCTGCAGGTCTCTGAATTTTATTATATTTTTTTATATGTATGGAATTAGATAAAAAAAAATTTAGATATTTTTTCCAACAGGACATAATTTTTGACCATAACGGGAAGATAACATGAACGTACATATGCCTTTGTTTCGTTTATGTTACGACTATAATTATCTTTTGCCTTCGCGGTTACAAACGTCATCTACTTTTTCATAAAATAAAATGAAACCTTACCTCGACGCATCGAATTCTTTAAATTTAAATTAACTAGGATGTCCCGTCGACATCCTTTGGGAAAGGCAAAAGTTCCTTTATTTGTTGTAAACGTCTTTTTTAGCACGCCTATTATGTGATAAGAACTAGCGTTAGGTAGCGTCCGAAAATTTTTTATATGGGCCTGGCCGGCCGGAGAATTTTTTTTGTATATAGATATATTTGATGGAATTTTTTGCTGTTTAATAGAAATGGTAATCCATAAAGTATAGTGTTTTTAATTTATCCACTCCCCAAATAT